CAATAAATTTACAGTTTTTGAAGTATTTTATTGTAAAATGATATTTTCGTTGTTGGTTATTGTGGTATAAAAAATGTGAATAACTGAAAATCAGCGATGCTTGCAGGTCTGCTAACGTTCACAGGTCTTTGCTACGGAGTCGCAATTGCAGCCATCGTTCTAATGTTCTCATTCTACACATCTGTGAGTTATCAGTGCCTTTGTGGGTTTCATTCATAATTTATTCATAAGTGGAAATACCGATTTAAATGTTTTTAAAGTTTGTACATTGAGAAATCGTATTTGGTAGTAGGGGGTGTTGATTTGAGATATTGCGCTTGTCTTTAACGGTACGCACATTTTAGACAGAGAACGTATTTAAGCTTCATAGTTTAGATACGTTAAAAAATTTTGAAAACCTCTTTTCATGAGTTCACGGACGTTCTGTGATGTATTCGTGGAAAAGGTGAACTGATAATGAAGGACTAATTTTTCTAGGGTGCCCCATGTCATTTGCCGAAATTCTTCATCTCGTTCAATTTGATTTTGTGCGTGATCGTTTCGGTACTCTCAATTCTACCGAGTATTCAAGAGAGAATGCCACGTTCCGGATTACTTCAGTCCTCATTCATCACACTCTACACGATGTATATCACTTGGTCGGCACTCATCAATAATCCTGGTAAATTTATCAAAATATTCTTACGTAAATTTAAAAAAAAAATATTTGTTCGTCCAGTCGGTGGGTGAATTCTTTTAAAATGGATTCTGAAGTAGCAAATGATAGCTGAATTAATAAAGGATGTTTGATGTTCAGACAAAGAATGCAATCCATCGATCATCAACATATTCACGAATCGCACCACACCACATGGCGAGGTTAGTCTTTCTTTTTTTTATCGTTCTGATCGGATGTTTTTAGCCTCTTCCAATCGGTTTCGTTTAAATCAAAGTATGTGTGTTAATGAAGTCGTAATAAATGCTATTTACACTCCTCCACCGGATTACGGAAGTAAACTAAGGTGACCCATTCCAGGAGATGTACGGCACTCCGCTACCGGCTGAATCGTTGGTGTCGTTGCTGATCTGGTTCATTTGCGTGCTCTACGCATCATTCCGCACTTCATCGAGCTTCAACAAGATCGCTGGTGGAGGTCAATCAAGCACCATCGATTCATCAGATAATGGTTCTCAACACCAAATTATCGGTTCTGAAGTTGATATATCCACATAGTCACTACATTCGAAACAATAACAATGAAAGCCAAAAAGATTCAAAATTGATTTTCTGATCTGTTTGAAGAGCTTTTGCCATTCTAGGTTTAGTAGATGATTTTAAAACAACGTCAATTTTTTCAAGATTCAAGAAATTGATTGTTCATGGAAATTGATTGTTGTTGTATCTGTTGTTAGTTGAGATTACTAGCGCAGTCACTTAGAGTGAGAAACGATGAAGGGAAATTTCTATTTTGGATGGAGTATTTGTGATCTATCAACTGCAACGGGACCGCTCACTTGACTGCACGTTGCATGTGAACACTTCAAACTGTCAATGCATGTTCATTGCATGTTTTCATTTGACCTGTGACCTGTTCTTGTATGGCTGCTTTGGGGAGCTAAAAATATTTTAGTGATGATCATCGGTTTTTTAGAATCAAGCATGATTTGGCCATAGCATACAGTTCCTTTGATATGTTTTAGGACCACGCAAATCTTTCATTACCGCATTTGCATTTGTAAGTAGGTATTGAAGAAGATCAAATTAAATCAATACTTTGGATCTTTTGGAAAATGTTGTGCTTCTGCATCGGACATTCCGACGACAGAAATTTCCCGTAGATCTGTGAGTGCTTGTGGCGTTTATTAAGGTGTTCTACATGTTTGAATTTCAACGAACGATATTGCTGGCGTTCATTTAAGAGCTGATTGTGAGGTGTAAGGCAGTTTTAATAGATTTTGCATGTTTTGGCATTCTTTTTCACACTCATGTCTGCATCTTTTGACAAATGGTGCTCAAGGATGAGAGTGCACTTTCTGCAGATTGGAATTTGTTTGCTTTTTACAGAAGGTGACCCAGAATCTGCGCGTGTGTGGGATGATGAAAAAGATGCTGTCTCGTACAGTTATTCATTCTTCCACTTCGTTTTCGGTCTTGCGTCTCTCTACGTTATGATGACGCTGACCAGTTGGTACAAGTGGGTTTTTGTTTTATTCAGAACATTCTAAATGAGTATTTTCATTCGAAGGAAACATACTGGAAAGTATTTCCAGTATCATTCTGTTGTATGTTGATATTCAAATCGCAATATATGAAATGTTGCAAATTTATTTGAGATTAACGCAGTTAGACTTTTTTCGCTGCTTTCCAATCGCTCGTTTTTACTGATCTCATGGACGTAAAAATATACTGATAGTGAGTCTGCCTTCGTAGATGAAAGATGTTTTTCGTTTTGGAGAGCACTTGAACACTGAATTGTGAACTTGATAAAATTGATTTTGACTTATCATATGCTATTTAGAGCAAGGATTATTGTATAACTTAAAAACTACTTCCAGACCCGATAACGATCTTCGTCATTTGAACAGTAATATGGCTGCAGTTTGGGTGAAAATTGTCTCATCATGGCTTTGCTTGGTCATCTATTCATGGACGTTGGCTGCACCGGCGATATTCCCGGATCGTGATTTCTCGTGAAGCAAAGAGAACGAAACGAGCAATCAGAAAGAAGCAAAAAAAAATTAATTTGCCAAAAATGGATCGTTCTCATTTCGCGAATTTCACGATATCTATACTGTGGTCCTTTTACGAATTGTGTGGTCTGAAACCGCCATTGAATTCAAAACATTTGTATATTTATTTTGGTTTTTCTTTTATTCAGTTTCCAGCGAACACGAAAATGATATTGGAAATTTTGTTCTATTCCATCACGAAACCCGTCGTTTCATTTCTCTTTTTTTTCACAACTATCATTTTGAATTTGTAAATATTATGAACAGCATTGAAAGAACATCATTGTTCATCGCTTTTGTAAGTAAGTAAATACTCTCTTTGACTCTCTTATTTTCCCTGGTGGAAAGTCTGCTTTTTGTTTTCATTTTATGAAACTTTTCGAAATTTTTTCCTTCGAATGCATTTTTATGCTATGTGTGAGCCTGTTCTATACTTTCTACTACTTAATGATAGTTTACTTGAAGTGATTGTGGTTTTGTTTTGTTACATTAATCATCATATCCTTTCTAGTGATTCATTTCTCAGAAATGGTTTATTTTTCATTAAACGAATAACGTGAAACATGCTTTGTTGTAATAGCATGAAAGTGTATATACTTGTGAAGTTTCGCCAGAAATTGCTGCTTCATTTTCTCGATTCTGTACCATTATCAGTCTCGAGTCTATGCCATTATCAATCTATCGTAACTCCTTTGCCGATCGATGTTTCATTCATACGTATTTTTCAACGAAAGCAGTGAGAAATTCATGCGTATCAATTTCATTTCCTATTTTAATGCATTTCCTTTGAAAAGTATGTAATTTTTCTTGGTATATTCCTTTTCAGTAAACGCTTTCTTTCCAACTTCACAAATTTCTTTGGTTTGCAATACGAATATTCTGTTGCCGTCAATAATGGCGCAGTTGAATTAACATATTTCTGGTGGTGGTTGTTTAGCGATTGTTTGTTATAAGAATTATAAAATTGTGAAGTTACAAGTTGATCTGGAATTCACTTCGAACGTGCGAGTGTCGTAAATTCCACATAGGTGTTGTTGATTTTGTCAAGTAACTCTGCTAATTGGACTTACAGGCAGACCACAAAGCACCGATAGAAAATGGTTGTTGATATCAGTAAGATGGATCGATACGTCGGGCCGGTTAGTTTGCTTGTTGTTGTTTGACTGCGTACCGGGCACTTTGGATAATGTAATCTTGTGTGGTGCGAGGAATCTCGGGGATATGTCCCCGAAAATTAATTTCTTTCAGCGTCACTGACTTTTTTCAGCCGTGGATATTTTCGAGGAATTTTCCGTCCCTGATTTTCCCCGTCTTCGGCTTTTTTTGCGTCATCGCACCGCACTAGTGTAATCAATGCATTGGATTCAGAATTTTGCTGAAATCGCTAGCAAAACGCTTGTATTGACATCAAGCGAAACTTTTGCAAAAAGAGATTCAGTGGTGCGAAATTGGATCCAAATTTGTTTCAGGTGAATCCGTCACTTTATCCTCAGTTAACCGTGTTGCTGCTGGGAATTGGTCTTTTCTTCATGGCGTGGTTCTTCGTTTATGAGGTTATTTCTAAATCGTTTTGCCTCTTTTTTCCTGATTACTTCGGCCAGTTCGACAGACCAGTCTTTCAACTGTTCACATAACATTGTTCGCAAGCAATGCGCTCATCAATCTTCTACATTGTGGGGGAGGTTGCTGATAGGGGACATATCCAAATGGATGGAAGTCATCTATGGAGATAGAAAGTCGACGAAATGTATGAAGGATCTGGAAAGCATTTCCTGATATGTTTGACGATTAGGGCCGTTCGGAACTACAATTTGATTTAGATCATAGTTCGGGCATTGCAGGTTATTTGATATTAGGTGATTCGAGTGATGAATATCCGTTTTGGTGACATTCTTGTGGGATTCTGAATATTCGATATTGCAGGTCACATCGACCAAGTACACGCGTATGTTACTGAAAGAACTCTTGATTGCCTCAGTGGCGGCATTATTCCTTGGGTTTGGAGCGGTTTTCTTGATGCTTTGGGTGGGAATTTACGTTTGAATTGGTCAAATTCAATGCAATCGACAAGTGTTTTTCACTTTGCTTAAGAATGCCTGACTCTTGGTTATTTATTGATTGTTCTATTGGGAAAAAACGATAGAGATTGGCTGTTTCGAAACATCTGCTGTTTTCTTTGATTATTCTTTTGTATACATCTGTGTGCTCGTTTTTGTCGCAGATTATTAGCCAAAATTGATAATTTTGTGATACGTTGCTGTTGTTGTTGTTG